CGAAGCTGTGTGCGGCACCCCCTCTACAGTTTACGCCTCCGGTCATATTCTCGCGGTGCTCAGGTGAAGCCTCCGTGGATCACATCACCATCACCGTCACCACGCCGTCGTTCTGACGAAACTCATCTACTCCTTCGACCCTCTGCCGGATCAAGAGCTCGAGGAACGTCATCGCGCTGAACGTGTGCAGAACTCGGAGGTGTCGTACGTTCGGTACTCGACCGGTCGGAACGAGAAGATGTTCGACTACATCAACCGCGTTGAGCAAACGCTTCCGTTTTCGGTCTACGAGGGTACGTGGACACACTCTCCCTCTCTCGTTGCTATGCATCTCCTAGATAGATCTGGCGTGAGCGTAGGATTTTTTTTTGAAATTGCATGCTACGTTTCCCAACACCTCCATCTCGGTTGTTTTCGGCTTTTTGTTGTGTTTGAAGGAGGTCTTTTAGGGGTGGTGTTGCGTTCGATGGCATTTTGATTGCATTAGGCGTACATTCCGCTTGCAGGTTTTCCAGTGTGGTGTTGCTTCTTCCATGTGTTCCATCTTACTGCGACAATTGTTTTTATTTGCATAGGGGGATTGATGCGAGGGGCTGGGGGGGGGGGTGTTAGGTTGATTTTTTTGCAACCGGGGCGCTGAGTAGGCACATAGGAAAGGGTGTTCTTATTTAGAAAAAAATGCATTGGGCGTTAGATTTTATCGAGCGTGGTCATTGTGTTGTTGCGCTGGTGGAGGCACACAAAAAGACAAACAAATCAAACGAACAAGCAAAAGGCAAACCATAGGAAATACATATCCAATAAATAATCGTTACGGATCAAAAGACGCTGCAAAAACGCACATCTACTTCTAATTAGAGAAGAATGTACCCAGCCCAACTCGAAGCAACCATTGTCAAACGGGGAACCACGCGATCCTCACCAGCGAGCATCATTTCTAAGGAGTTTAGCTCTAGTTATCAAAATCGCTTGCGCTGATCAAAGGCATCCACCAGCACGATGACCCAGTCAAAATCACAGATAATATACACAATTGGACACCTCAATTGATTGGGTGAAATTCAAACTCACGGAGCGTAGTGAATTTAAAGATACATTGTCTTGAGAGGACCAATACAACTGTGACGATCGTTGAGCTGAATCTTATTTTCACCGGCATGCACTTCATCTTCATGTATAATTTTCGTACTATTTCCTGACCAAATCAGGATGAAACAGTCTTCGTTTTGTGACAACACAACAATGATTAAATTGTACTACTACACCATATGATCAGCATGCTTCAGAACGGATGCAACGTTTGTTGACATTGCTGTGCCGACCTGGTCGATCTTGGGGCGCCTGCATTTCCATTGACTCCGGCTGTCCGGCACGTGCAGTCTGATGAATATGTGTCTGCCTGTCTCCGCGTATGTTGATGTGATGTGCTGTGCAGCTCATCTCAATCAACTCCCCTCCCACAATTCACTCCCCAATTTACTCACTTCACCACCCCACGATTTATGGCCGCGTTCCTACCCTGCTCTGCTCCCCCCTCCCTTCTCTCCCCCAAGCACACACCGGCACCGCAGTAGCCACGAACGCGCCAAGACAAACACTCGAGGGAGAGAGGGAGAGCACGCGTGCGCGCGCCTCTCGCCGTCGCCATGGGCCGCGGCGGTGCGTGCGGCGTCGCCTCACTCTTCTTGGCGGTGGCAGTGGCGGCGGCGGCCTGCTGCGCGGCGGCGGCGCAGGAGCCCAACACGGACGCCTACTTCGTCGCGCGCTTCTACGCCAAGATGGGCCTCGCGGCGCCGCCGTCGGGCGCCGGCGCGGTGTGCTCCTGGCCCGGGGTGTCGTGCGACGGCGAGGGGCGGGTGCTGGCGTTCGCCGCCGCCGGGATGGGCCTGTCGGGCCCCATCCCGGAGGACACGGTGGGGAAGCTCGCCAGGCTGCGCTCGCTGGATCTCAGCGCCAACCGCCTCACCGCGCTCCCCAACGACCTCTGGGAGCTGGGCGCCTCGCTGCGGACCCTCAACCTCTCCCGCAACGCCATCAGCGGCGCGCTCCCCAACAACGTCGGCAACTTCGCGCGCCTCCAGGTGCTCGACGTCTCCCACAACGCCTTCTCCGGCGCGCTGCCGCCGGCGCTCGGCTCCATTACCGGCCTGCAGGTCCTCAACGCCAGCCACAACCAGTTCCAAGGCCAGGTCCCTAGCGCCGGGGGGAGCCTCGTCTCCATGGATCTCTCCGGCAATGCGCTGGACGGCGACCTGCCTGAACTGTCGCCGCTGCGGTCGCTGGCCTACCTCAACCTGTCCGGCAACCAGCTCCGCGGCTCCATTATCGGGGCGTTCCAGGAGCAGTTGAGGGTCATAGACCTTAGCAACAACCGCTTCTCGCGGTTGAATTTTAGCAGTGGGTATTCTGGTACGTCCCTCATGTACCTCGACCTGTCAAGTAACGAGCTTCTCGGGGAATTCGGCCTCCCTGGCCGGTTCCGGAACCTGAGGCACATGAATCTTGCATTCAACCAGTTGTCCACGAACAATTTGCTGGCGTCCATTGGTGAGATTTCTTCATTGGAGTATGTCAATCTGTCAAGCACTGGGTTGCATGAGCGAATCCCTGGGGTGTTGGCTTCCCGGTTGGTTGGCTTACATGTGCTGGATTTGTCACGGAACAATGTCAGCGGGGTAGTGCCGGACATGAGCGCTTTGCCGCTGCGGGTGCTGGACCTGTCGGTGAACAACCTCACTGGGGAAATCCCCGTGTCACTGGTCAAGAAATTGGTGTCAATGGATCGATTCAACTTCTCATACAACAATCTCACCGTCTGCGCCTCCGAGCTCTCCCCGGAGGCGTTTGCAGCCGCATTTGCTAGGTCCAGGAATGACTGCCCGATTGCTGTAAACCCGGACAGCATCAAGAAAAATGGGGGGCACCGCAAGGGGATGAAGTTGGCGCTGGCCATTGTGCTCACGCTCTTCTTCTCGGTTCTTGCATTGCTTTGCTTGGCACTTGTGTGCAGGAAGCCGAGGAAGAAGAGGGGTGACACATTTCCCGTTGATAAGCAGCCATCGTCATTCAAAGACGAGCCTGGGACATCAGGGCCATTTGCGTTCCAGACTGATTCCACAACTTGGGTTGCCGATGTCAAGGTTGCCACATCCGTTCCAGTTGTCATATTTGAGAAGCCATTGCTGAGCTTCACCTTCGCCGACCTCTTGGCAGCCACATCAAACTTTGACAGGGGAACTTTGCTGGCAGATGGGAGATTTGGGCCAGTGTACACAGGGTTCCTCCCTGGTGGAATTCAGGTTGCTGTGAAGGTGTTGGTCCATGGTTCGGCAATGGCAGATGAGGATGCAGCGAGAGAGCTTGAGCGGCTGGGACGGATCAAACATTCTAACCTGGTTCCTTTGACCGGCTACTGCTTAGCAGGAGGCCAAAGAATCGCGATATATGAGTACATGGAGAATGGCAATTTGCACAACTTGCTGCATGATTTGCCACTAGGCTTGCAGACCACTGAAGACTGGAGCACCGACACATGGGAGGACAACAATGGTGGCGTGGCCACTGAAAACATCACCCCAGAGGGCACTGCTGCATGGAGGTTCCGACACAAAATCGCACTAGGCGCTGCAAGGGCACTGGCGTTCCTCCACCATGGTTGCATTCCGCAGATCGTCCACCGGGATGTGAAGGCAAGCAGCATCTACTTTGACTATGCAATGGAGCCAAGGTTGTCTGATTTCGGCTTGTCAATGATCGCCGGGACTAGCACAGACGGCGACCATTCCCCTGGCTATGTGCCGCCGGAGTTCTCCGACCCAGAGAACGCCACGGCGACATCGAAGTCCGACGTTTACAGCTTCGGCATCGTGCTGTTTGAGTTGATCACCGGCAAGAAGCCGCTGGGTGATGAGTACCCTGACCAGAAGGAGGCAAGCCTGGTGAGCTGGGCAAGGGCAATGGTGAAGGCAAACCAAGGGTCGAGCATCATCGACCCCAAGATCCGCGACACGGGACTGGAGAGGCAGATGGATGAGGCACTGAGGGTCGCCTACCTCTGCACCGCCGAGCTGCCATCCAAGAGGCCAACCATGCAACAGATCGTTGGCCTATTAAAGGACATTGAGCCTAGAGTAGCAGATGAGAACTGAAGTTATTTATTTATTAGTGTATTTTAGGCGTGTGAGCAGCGAGTGAGGTCCTAGTTGTTTGCTGGTCCTCTGCTGAGATATATCTTCTTCTTTCTTCTTCTTCTTCTTCTTCTTTGATTGTTCATCTTCTGAGATGCTGCAATACAGCTTTGCCACACTTGCTCCTTCACTAACAGAGCAATGCTAGCATTGAAACAAGTAATCACAGCGGAAATGACGCATTGGGGCGATGCCCATGTGTCCTGTAGGAACAGTAGTAGGAAGGAAGTGTGCCGTGGATTGGGCAGCGCGTCCTCATTTTGTGTCGCTCGACGAGACTGTGGTCTCATGGATGGTGTCGCCGCTCGGCTTGGTGGCTGGGATCGGGCATCGGCGGCGCCAAAGGTGGTTGCGGTCGCTGATGGGGAAACAAGGTGACCTTCTTGTTCCAATATTTCTCCTATCCCAGCTCCATCTCAGTGCTTTAATATTCCTTTCTCTGCATTCTTGTTTACAATTTTTTTCAACAGACACTCGGATTAGCAAGTGAGGCAAAGCAGAATTAAATGTAATGGAGCTGAAGAGAATGGGGGGCAAAGATTGAGACTGTTTGATCATGTTATCTTCAATTTTCCTCATGCTTGATTCAAAGGACATTAGGACAAGAGCATGAGATGCATCTGCTCATGTACGTGCGCTCCCCTCCCACGGCTACGGCTATCTTAATTTTCTCAGTTAATATTTGACTGTCACTGAAATTTTACGTTAGTGCCATTTTTCATGTCGATGAGGCGTGAACTTGTCCTTTGCGCAATTGTGTTGTGTTCTGTTGAAGAAGCTTGGGTAAGTTTCATCCTTTGTTGCAGCCTTCCAAAGAGAAAATGACATTATTATGAATCTTTTGGGATGATTATCAAAATCGCAGGATATGATTTAGGCGCCAACACTTTCTTTTAGAGTCCATAATTCCTGTTTCTTGTGGAGTGGAGGAGAGAAGAAGCTTGGGGAGGCAGCAACATCATTTCTATGATTTTCCACCATGACATCAATCACATCTAAACCGTAGTTATTAGTGTAGCACTGGAGGAGGACTGACGTGCGTTTCGTGTTTGGTTAAGACGGCCGGAATTTGCCATGCACGCCAACGATGTTTTAATGAGGCAGCATAGCTGCCGTCCTTTTCCTGGCCTTTTTTTTTTGCCCACTAGCAGTACCAGTACGTGCAGTCATAGAAAATCTGTCAAAACATAACTGCCCGCGCATTCAATCATATCATTAAGGCCATGATGGCTGGCTGCAAGCACCGCCCTGAAAGCGTGCTCTGCTCATCACTGTTTCTGTTGGAAGAAGATTAAAGCGCGTTCCATACCATCATTATGTTGTAACTTTTGCTCCCGCTCTTCCGGTTAAATTAGGGCAAAAGGGTGGTGTAGTGGCTGGGTGGCTCTTCTTTACTCGAGGTTACGCTACCTAAAGGCGTTGATAATGGTTTCGTGCCATGCGCGGCCTGCACCTGCAGTCATGGCTTTCCGAGAAAGAGGCTGCGGCTCTCGAGCCTTGACTGTGGCATGGAAATCCATGTCATCATGCATGCGCGCCACCCTTGATGATTCTAGTGCTTTCTGTTTGTTTGCGTAGAGTGCAAGTGATTGATTGTTCATGCAAAAACCTGTTCTGTTGTAAGGCAACACCAAAAGAAAAAACACGGAAAGATTGTTGCTAGATTTAAATTCGAGATGTTAACTGAGTATAGCTCAGATGGTTAGATTCCTTATGGTGGAACCAGCCCCATAGTTAAGTTCTAGACTTGTGTTGGTGCTCTTATTTTTATGGATTTAAGTTATGTTCGTTTAATGAGAGTTAAGTTTAGACTTGTCTTGGTGCCCATATTTTTTTATGGATTTAAGTTATGTTCGTTTAATGATAGGAGACATTTCTACCAGGGTTCAGTTTGCTTTCCATTATTTATGCCAACGTGGCAACACCATCTGCCTGTGTATGTGTCGGTCCTACCTGCCTGCTAGTAAGATGGAGCAAGAAAGTGTAGAATACCCCTTGGTTTTAGCATCCGGTACCAAGGCGCTAGGGTTTCCATGCCTCTCGCTGGCGTCGTCGCTGGTCCGCCCCGTCTCATATTACTACTGAAATCAAAAAATTTGCCGTCAGCTCACAAAAAACGAACGACAAAGAACTGGTTTACGGTAAAGACGCAGTTTGTTGTCAGTCAGTTCTTCGCCTTCAGCTAGCTGACGGCAGAAGCTACTTTGTCCTCCGCTAGTCGACGACAAAGAAGTTGTTGGGTCCAGTTGAGGGCGACTATCCTAACGGCCCGTCACCCCACCTCTTTGCCGTCCGCTAGTTGACGGCAAAGTATCTTTGCCGTCAGCTAGCAAACAAAAATCTACCTAACGACGCTAACGCCCCGCCCGACCCCCACCTCTCTCTCTCTCTCCCACCTTTCTCTCTCTCTCTCTCTTATCTCTCTCTCTCTCCCCACCCCCTCCTCTCTCTCTGTCTCC